TATGGTTTACCAGTGTTTGTTTACACATTAATTATAACTATTTACAAGATTAACTATATACTCTAGTGAAACAATATGTTATGCATTAAGGAGACACTAAAAATAGGCATTAAATTAAGTTCGTTACAATATTATTTTTATTTTATTTATTTCCTAAGTTATGACGTGGTTCTTATTAATTACAATACAGGTTTCATATAAATATCAAGCTTTATTATTAGTTATGGTTATGTAATGCCATGTTTGGGACAATATTCTTTTGAACTTAGAAAGTGAATCAATAAAGATATCAATAATATCACTACAACCGTTAAAGACCTTTGACAACCTTGGTATTGCGGAGTTTGTACCATGTACTGATTTACGAAAAAAAGAATACAATGGTGTTATCGGGGTACGGGGAAATTGTTAAGTTATATCTTCCAAGGAATGACCTTATTGAATCATAATCCATTTTACACGCACTTTGTAAGTGCTTGTTGAAGTCTCTTTATTTTTTCATTTCTTTTTAACTTTATCTTCTTTCCTATTCAGCCTTTTTTAACTAGTTTGATAAAGGCCTCCTTCAGATTGCGCCATCTAACTTGGTCTGGCACTATCTTTGTTCAATTTGGTACTGCAGTTTTCCTCGTGTCATCCTAACGCCCACGCATTGTTGGTCTACCTCTAGGTCTCTTTTCACTTCGAGACCTCAATTTCAAGACCCCTTGCCCCATGAGCCATGTTTATGGGTCACACCAACTACCATTTCAAACTTGTTATTAGTTTAGTGGCATACATGACTGTACGTTGCTTTCTGAACCAGGAGTTTCTCAAATAATTTTATGGCATAGTTGCCACAAGTCCTTTCTAGTTTTCTCTAAGCTACTTGTAATTTGTTAATAGTGTTTTTTTCTTATAATTTTTCTGGTTCATATGTAAGTACCGATAAGTCACATTGGTCAAATCCTTGCTTTCTGTTCACCTACTATGTATTTTTAAAGCGGTCCAGTTTTGCGATGGATTTCGTGAGACAAATAAGTCTATCTAGTTGACTTGATTTTCTTTCCTATTCTTATTTGTTGGACTAGAATGACTAATTTCTGGAGTTCCTACTGTTTCTATACTTATTTAAGCACAGTTTGCCTCTGATGTCTACGGAAGAGGATGTCCATTGAGTCTACTTCCGGGAATTGGCGTCGAGCTTAGTTAGGGCTGCACTTGCCAAACTAATAGCAAATATTGGAGGGCCAAATATAAAGTGTAGGAGACTATACGCAGGGGTCACATGCAGTATGGCCCTATATGGTGCACCGATCTGGGCGGAAGACTTAAACGCGAAGAACAGAGAACTTCTTCGTAAGGCTCAGAAAATAGTCAGTTCGGGCAATACGTGCGTACAGAACGGTCTCTCGGGCAGCAGCTTGTACTCTAGCAGGAAACCCACCATAAAAACTGGAGGCCCAAGTCCTGGTGGAACTACATAAGGAGCAGGCCGCGGCGAGAAGTCGAGGGGAATGCCCTGACATAGAGAACCTGGTAAGAGTTAGACGCCAGGCAGAACAAAATATGGGAAAACTCTGGGGAGAAACGATGCGGACTTCAATGTTTGGTATCCGGACATTAGAAGCGATCCGTCCTGCGTTGGATCGCTGGAGGAAGAAGGAGCATGGTTGCTAACCTTTGTTTTGCTAACCAGCTGGTGCAAGTGTTGTCTGGGCATGGTTGCTTCGGACAATACCTGCATTGAAAACAGAGAGAGGCGACCCCGTCGTGCCACGAGCGCGGCACTGCTGTAGATACAGCACGGCACACCCTTGAGGAGTGTCCGGCGTAGTACCAGCAGCGCTGTACTCTGGTAGCGGCAGTGGTTAGGGATCTCTCTCTGCCCGGTGTAGTAAATGCTATGCTGGGTAAGTACAGATCCTGGCAGAAGGAGGCTGCAGAGAAGTTTCACAAGGATGAAGCTCACGTGGACTCTCTCCGACTTAATAGGGTGAGATCAAGGAGACGAGGAAATCCCCTTCGTCTTCAGGCTCCCTCGCAGAGGCCTGCGGGGTCTTGACTTGGGATGTTCAGATCCTGCCTTGCACAAGTCTTTGGTGATGGTTGGGGATGCCCATTATGCACAGAGGCATCTCCAACACTCTCCTCTTCCGGGAGGAGACGGGTGTGTCTGTTCGACTAGGACGCTCACTAGTGAGGTCCCGGAAGACTCTTGAAGGGTTTGCGTGGCCTCATCTAGTGCCGTTGGTTCGCCTACGCTGGGTGGGACCGCGGACCGAGTCAGGTGAAGGGCATCGTAAGGTTTTTAGTGGGTAGGGCCCCACCTCCTGAGAGGTTAGTCAGTCCCAGGACTGTCTGAGCGGGCGGGACGGATCAGGAGGAGGCCCATATAACCCCGTTGCCACTCCCATGTGGCAGAGTATGCACAAACCTGACGAAAAAAAAGAAAGTTAGGCGCAGATTAGAGAGTCCTACATAACCCCATCGGTCGTCTTACTTATCAGTGGTGGGCTATGTGTCATGCATTTCTTTGAGTTGGATAAATGGAGGGTTCAAATTGCAATATGCTTTTTGTCCTCAAAAAAAAATTAACCCTACGCTAGAAGTTTCAAAAAATTTGGTACATATTCTTTATGAAGATGAATACGTAATTGAAACAGTCATCACTATCAAAACAATATTAGTACAGTCAATCTGTCGAAAAAAATATCGTTTCAGTTATCGTTTTCAAAAAAAAACCTAAAGGCTAAGTCTTGTTTTTTCTGTTGCCAAATGACGTCAGTAAGCCACCTTGGCGATGGGCATGTTCAACTCGTAGGCGTTTTTTGAAAAACTCAAAAAAACCGTCAAAAATTTTTTGAAACGCATTATTCTTGTTTTTTATGCATTTTAGAAACTTTTATTTCGACCATAATTGTAGAGGGCGTTGAGTGCTACAATTTATGTCATTGTTGCAATCTCGTACAACAAAAAATGCGCATTGTAGGTGGCGCTAAAGTCGCAAAAAAAGTGTTTTTTTCACTTTTTCACCCTGAAAATATCATTTTAATGGAAAACTTTAAATGGCAAAGTTGTTTCGTACATAATTACCAACAACTTTTGTATAAACATTTTTTTTGTATTACTTACCGTTTTCAAGTTATAAATTGCGCAGGTATGAAAAATCCAATAGAGCGGTTTTGGGCAGTTCAAGTACACATTTGCAGTGCACATTTCAATGTACGTTTTACTATTTTTTATTTTTTTTCATAATTGAAAAACAAAAAAATTAAAAAAAAAATAGTTTTATTTTTATTTTTTTTCATGATTGAAAAAAAAATAGTAAAAACGTACATTGAAATGTGCACTGCAAATGTGTACTTGAGCTGCCCAACAACTTTGCCATTTAAAGTTTTCCATTAAAATGATATTTTCAGGGTGAAAAAGTGAAAAAAGACTTTTTTGAGACTTTAGCGCCACCTACAATGCGCATTGTTTGTTGTACGAGATTGCAACAATGACATAAATTGTAGTACTCAACGCCCTCTACAATTATGGTCGAAAAAAAGTTTCTAAATTGCACACAAAACAAGAAAAATGCGTTTCAAAAAATTTTTGACGGTTTTATTCAGTTTTTCAAAAAACGCCTACGAGTTGAACATGCCCATCGCCAAGGTGGCTTACTGACGTCATTTGGCAACAGAAAAAACAAGACTTACCCTTTAGGTTTTTTTTCACCACTCAACCTACAGATTGACTGTACTATATGAATAAAGTAACAATTACACATAAAGATGTCAATTAAATTGAAAGCTTGTCAAAGTGACGGTACCAACTTCAAAACTTATAAACTTTTTGATCTCGGACTGTGGCCGTTAGTAATCAAAATTATTAATCGAGGAATACTAAAGCTTAAGGGAACAGATCTCCGGTTTTTCGTTAGTCCGGCTCTGGCGGCGATACGAGCTAATTTACAATATAAATATTGGCTCAATCTTAGATGCGGTCTGTTATTTATCCAAAGTTGAGACGGAGACTTTCGCAATTTTACGCTCTCGTGAATTCGGATTATGAGTTCATTTTTGAGACAATGGTTATGACGTTCCAATCACAAAATGTGTTTGTGTCGAGATTGACTATAATTACTGTTCTTCCTTGTAAAGATCCCTACTATCTATCTATCTTTAATAATAATATTTTTACTTTAAACATTCAACTGCTAGATTTCTAGATCTAAAGAAATTTTACTAGAAACAATACTAGGCGGGATCAGACAGGATTCAAACCTTCATCTCCCATAATATAAATAAAAATATGTTGAAATGCATTGAGGTAGAATAGTTTAATTATTTTAATATTATATTAATATAGGCATATTCGAAAATATATGAGATCTTTTGGAGCGAAATCCCAAACACTAATCCTAACACAATCTTAGTACTTCTACCACCAGAACCAGAAATGGAACAAGTAATTAATTATTTAAATTGTATGTACGTGTTGTATGACATCGCTGTCATCCAAAATATCTTCACAAGACAAGACCAGCCCCGAGCACCATTGTTTTCAATAAATTAGTGGGCAGGACAAGAGCCCGCGCTCCGCAAACAGCCGACGGCCTCCGTCAACACAATTATTATACTCGACCGCCCTGACTATGAACACCCTCTAAATAAATTAACTGGACGATATCTAAACATTTAGGAAAAACTCCAGTCGCCAATTTATTGACGGGGGAGAAGGAACAATAAGAACGAAATTGAAAGATGGACTCTGTAACAAAATAAATATGCGCAGAATAAACGGATACTTACAGTCCATATGAAAATCATAATAATTTTCTTATCCCAAATTCTAGGTCTTCATTAGGAGCTCACCCCTTATACAATCGAAAATCTAGAGATATTATTACTGATAGAAATGAAAAAATAATTTATGCATCACTCTAACTTCAGTAATCTTCAAATTATATTTTTGTGTGCAATAATAAATTAAATCTACATTGTTGTAATTTTGGTATTTTCTTTTTATTACAGATACAATAACAACCTTCAAATATGGCGTCACGACCAGCAGCACCAACAGTGCGCACGAAGAAACAAAACCACGCCAATATACCATGCCCCATTGAAAACTGCGCACGATTCACATATGGAAAACTTCCCGACCACCTCACTAAGATACATGGCCTCACAGGCGCCGAGAGAGACGCTCTCAACGAACAACAAAGAAAGAGATTCTTCAACGGCGAACTTTGTCAAGTGCGATATTTAAAAGAATCCGCAATAAGAGATCTCTGGGGAAGCGACTACGAAGACCCGAGAATCAGAGCTAAGATTCACCAAAGCTACGCTCTCGTTAAAATAAGGATCATACCACTAGCGGCAACGCAGCGTGCGAGACCTTTGACGGAACAAGACGCGAATGTCCTCACAGCGTATAATGCTAGAACTGCACCCAGGCCTGCACGCGTTCAGCGCTCCCGTGCAAGAACAAGACCTTATCCAGTTCCCGAGAATAGTCCAACGAAAAGCCGAGTTTCCAGCGAATCCAGCGAAGAAGAAAATACCCAAAATCCACTCCCACCGTCCCCTCCTCCTTCCTCCCCGTCCCTTCCTCCATCGCCCGCACCATACGAACTACAACCAGTAGAAACTCGCCTCCGAGACATATTCGATACAAAAATCGATGCTGGATACAAAGCAGTAATTGATGACATGAAAAAGTCTATGACGATGGGTAGAACACTCGGTTCTAGGAAACGTAAAGCATATCGGACGTACAGGCGATACGCGAAGCGACTAATAGTTTATCTGCATAGACAGCATTCTCCCTTAGCTTACGATGTAGACGTCCTGCTTTGTGGAGAGAGGCAAGTATGTGAATTTCTCGAAAGGATCAGTAGTGAACACAAGGCGAAAACGCTGCGAAACTACATTGTTGCTGCAATCAAGCTGTTGGACTCCCGCCTGTTCGCTATTGAAACAGATCCGTCATGTAAGGAGAAGGTTTCTTCCATGACAAGAGTGTATGAAGTGCTTCATGGGCGGCTGAATGAATGTGACCGACTTTTAGCACAAAAGGAGGCCTCAGTAATTCCTAAAACGAGCCCGACGACTTTCGATAGTGATGTTATGGATCAAAGTTTTAACGACTGTTATGATGAGTTAGTATAGACACTTAACTTTTACGTGTTTATATTATCAAGTGTATCTATAAAACCTATGTTTATATAGTAAGCAGAATCCCGATTTAATACACCTGTAAACTTCAATGCTTTAAGAATTGTCCAATTATTATTGTTAAAATGCTATCAAATTAAGTATTGAAAAAATTGAGATATAATTGCAATAAGAAAGTAAAAAAGCAATATTTTCAAACTTTCTTGTTGCATTACGTATGACTTAAATACAGACGACGTTTTACTTTATTCAAGTTTTGTAAATCTTTGTTTTTATAGTATATTATGGTCAGTTAAGGCATTTTATCAGTCTTACAATATTGTGTAAGTATTTAAATTCCTTAAAATGTTGCAAATTCACATAAAATATAATTTATTCTGATTAATTTAAGAATAATGTTATAAGAGAGCACTCCATTCAAATTGTTTGTTAGTAACAGTCACAGTTAACATTCATTAATATTGAATAAATCATTGTTAATAATTGTCTCTTGACAAGTATACTAAAGTACTATACAATGATTTGCCCATACTTGCCAGAATGTAATTACTTATGATTATTCTTCATTTTGCCCTACCAAAGTCATCCTGTACTGTTCCTTATTAAAATTATTGAACAAAGGCAACACTGTTCAACTTCAATGTAATTGAGTTTTCTCTGGGCAATATGGCGTCTCACTGGTGTGTGACGTCACACGACTGTCATTAAAACGTCAAACGATACAATGTAATGTCACTTTGACCGGAAGTTTACAAGTGCGTGACATCATTTTAGGCTCCGCCAATCACAGTTGTTTTCAATCACGTGACAATAGATTTGAAAACTATTATCTTTTTTGAGGGTTTTTAGTAAAATTATGAATATTTTTTCTGTAATAATAGTAAAAACCCCTGCCAATATTCATTCCAAACACAGATGCTAACTATTGGCACTCATCATTGGCGTCAAATACCCTATTGAAGCGGCCTTCTGGGGAAGTAACCTCCACCTTAGAGAAGACTACAGTAAAATAACACTAACTTTTGGTGGTGTTGTGTTTCTGTCCGTAAATAAGGTGGCAGGGCTCCACGTAGGGTATTCGGTCAGGGTAGGTAACGAAGCGAGTGATAATTTTTTAGCGCAACCATCTAATAGGCTATGGTAGCGGCTTACCTTTAGACGGGCCAATTGATAGTTTTTCACCCTTCATCATCATCATCAACCCATGTTCGTCCACTGCTGGACATAGATCTCCCCTAATGCTCGCCACTGCTCCCGTTTTTGTGCTACTCTCATCCAGCCCTCTCCAGCCACTCTACGAATATCATCATCCCATCTTGTCTCAGGGCGTCCTACACTACGTTTACCAAGTCGTGGTCTCACTCAAGAACTTTCCGGCTCCAACGGCCTTATCACATTAAAAAAATAGTTACAACTTAAATAAAGGTGAAAGAAGCAAGAAGTAAATTAATAGAATATCAGATATGTATAGGTATACTAAGAGCATGAACAGTTACCAATTTAACCATATATTTTATGAAATGCTATAAGTTTCTATAATCTGAAGTCATTTGCATTAATTTCTTTTTTATTCGTATTCTGGTCGGTACACATGTAAAATATTAAAAAATTTTACTTAGTGATGAAATACACCATTTCTAAAATGTCTTTTCATTGCACTGGATGAGAGGAGGAGATGAGATTGTTATAATTATTTGGCATTGATTTCAATCTGATATAATTTGATGTCATTATTCAAACTCCTAAAAGCGATAAATCCGAAAGACATTCTTATTTATTGAACTACAAACATTGCTTATTCATAGCAAGCGCTTTGAAGAGCAATCAGAATTACTTACATAAAAATATCGATTATGCATGACTAATAAATAGCATAAATCTTTACCTTTGACAATATTCAGTCGGAAATGTATACAAGCTGCAGCGCTATTCTGTAAAAATTTCACGCGCGGATCCGGATGGAGTGGAATTACGAACTATGATCCGTTGCCATAGCAACCGTCTATGCGAATTTCTAACATCAAAACAATTATGTATTATCAAAACTATCTTATTTAACTAATGCGCGAGTCTGCTGTATTAAGCTAATTTCTAACCGAATAACACAAAAAATCACTTATTCTCATTTAACTATCGATTGTAAACGAACTGTTTATGACGTCTCACTGCACTTAATTTCCCTTATTAATAAACAAACATGGAATAAGCTTAGACTAGTTACGCTGTCTTTTGTTCTTATCACTCACTTGTCATTTGTCATTCAATGACCAGAGGCAAAACATGGAGTAACTTATCCTTGTTTATGTAAATATATTAAAAAATATAATATAAAACTATAACGTTATTATCCTCTCTAAATATAACTAAACCTTTTTTTTTCTCTACCGATTAAATTACCTGCACTTTATAAAGTAATAATTTAAACCTGTGTTGTCTTTGCGTGTGTTATGCTTTCAGAAGAACAATAATAAAAGCTCAAGGAAGAAGGGTTATTCGGATAAAATATAAATTTTTTATTTGTATAAATACCGAGCAATCTCTATCATATCGTGTCTCTCTCACTACGGGATACTGGCGAAATTTCTGTGTGAAACGGAAACAGCCACAGAACAAAAAAAAAGCCTATTCTTCGTTTATTAATAAGGTGGAATGAGTTTCGTCCTTGTTATTTCGGTAGTCTCTTACAATACTTGCAAAGCACCTATTGGCACGCCGTCATAGTCTTATTAGACTACTAGCAAACCCGGCGAACTCCGTTTCGCCACCAGATGGCTTCGTTTTATGTAACATTTCGTTTGGTGATTAAAAGTTTTTTTTTTAATTTTTCCTGAATTTTCTTTGCTATAAACCTCACGGAGCCCAAGACCTTTCCAACGAAAGCAAAACCGTGGAAATCGGTTCGTGCGTTCTGGAGTTATAGCGTCAGGAAGGAAAACCCGACTTATTTTTATATAGTAGATGACGGCGTGTTATTTAAACAACATCAGATACCTACTTTGTTGAACTTATAATAACTTTGACGTGATATCAAGTTTATAGTATAGTATAGTTTAGACATGATTAGTTAGATTGGAAGATGTAAATGTAATATAATAAAAACACTTAGAAACTGTTTAGATGTAATGTAACATACACCTCAAAAGTTAAATTCCATTAAATGTTATACGATTTTAACTATGATGATTGATATATCTGATTTTCATTATATTTAATTAACGAAAACTACGTGTCTCAAGCAATAAGCTTCACCTGAACCCGCATAAATATTTTAGATGAATTATATATTAGAATTAGTTAATTACATAAATATGTATTAAGTTTATTATAAGACAAAGAAAGTCATACTTTCTTAAATGTGCAATAAATAAATAAAATTCAATTAGTATTTAAGTATACCGATACCAAATTTCTATTTAGTTACAATATATTTTGTGATAATTTTGTACATATGTATTAAGCTGATTTTGCTCATAATTTATAATTTAATTAGATTTGTGATTGATATTTTGTATTGTATTAAAATACATGTCAAGATTGAAACTAGTAATTTAAATTATTATATTAAAAGAAATTCTCAGAACCTGCTTTTTTATTGGTCTTATTTACATGGATTATCCCAAAACTAGTCAAAATGAAAATAGAAAAGGGACAAACAATACTTAGATATAAAAGTAGATATAATCTATACCTGAAGTAAATTAAAGTCAAATATGCACATTCAGCCAATTTGATTCCTGACCCACCATAACCTTATTTTGTTACAACCATTTCAAAACAATAAGGTAGATTTTTGCTTAAATGTACGTATCCCTGGAAACAAACTTGTTATTTTCTAAACAACCAGAATAGACGTAAAAGATTTTGCCGCCTTCCTGTGACATAATTTTAACATTTAATTATTTGAAGTTTTGCCCATTGACTAAGGAATTCCCTATAAGTTTAAGAACGCTTTCTATAAGATCAAGAAACTGAAAGAGTTTCTTTTACATAAGCGATTAAAATTTTAAAAGTGATTTCGAAATTCAAACTACTATTCCTATTTATCTATGACATGATCTATTACATAGAAAATAAAGATCAAAATTCAATAATATCTTAAATCCATATTAACACAGTTTCCTTGTTATTAGAAGGTCCTAAGTGGAGTTACGCATTTAAAGGAAAACTTATCTGTTTTGACATTTTTAAGCAAATTATTGGGCAAGTGGGTCAGGAATCAGTTGGTTCGATCGTACATACAACTCTTTTGAAACGTCAATTTTGTTCCTATGCCAATCTTTATGGATATATTGTAAGCTGCAGGGAAAAACGAGCGATGGGAACTCCACAACATTAACTTTCAGATATTTTAAACGAGAACTGTCAAAAAGAAAAAAAAATCGACGAGCTTTAGCACATATAGCAGAAACAACGAAGTTTTTATAACATAAACATTTTTGTCAGATTTTGTGGAGGTTAACCTAAGTTTATAACATAGAAAATCATAACAGGAAAAGCTTCCCGCAAGACATCATGTTGCACACAAGAGTGAAAATATGTAAAGAATTTATTTATTTATTTATTTTGTACACACACAATAAAATATTACATAAAAGAGAAACAAGAGACATGTACAAGGGCACTGCTTATTTCATAATGAAATTTCTTCCAGCAGGCCCGCGAAAGGAAAGAACATAGAAAAAGGCAGTCAGTGTGTGCTCCTGAATAAATATAACATAATACATATGCAATACATACAATAACCTACAATATAGTTTTTCAAAAATTAAGTCAGGTGCACAATGATTCCCTACTCGGACGATCATTTGCCTGTAACCTGTATCTTTCAGCATGACAATGACCCTAAACACACGGCCCATAGCGTCATATGTTTCCTTAGCCAACAGCGTATATCCCTTTTAGACTGGCCAGCTATTTGCTGGCCAGTCAGACAGTCCGGATTTAAAACCGATAGAAAATCTCTGGTATAATAAAAATGTTAAAAGGAAACTATAAATAAAAATAAAATGGCGCTGCACTTATTGATATTAAGACAGTAAATCACGCAAATCAAGAGTCAGTTAAAACTCTCCTCAATAAC